TGCAAATAAAGTAAAAGTCACAATCAGATAACTTGTAACAATCATCTCCTTTTTCACGCAGCCCTTTTTCATAAATGCCTCCCGCGCTTTTGCTCCCGAGATTTGTTCCAATCACAGTACTGGTACAATCAAAGTAATGCACGCTTGAAACGTCCCATTTCATAGGACAAGCGTGGCGTGAACATAATATCATCTATATTCACCGCGGTGTATAAAGATACTTTAGTTTTTTGTGTCCCTTCAAGTAAGGTATTTTTGCTGTATTAACAATTCGTAATATAAAGGCGTTTTACAAGTGATTCTTCCTTTTTGACATTGGAAGTAAATTGTATAAAGTGCCATGGCTCAAAAACCTGATAATTCATCATACTTTTGTACCTAAAGACTATAGGTGGAAGATTTATTGAGGATGTTTGTAAAGTGAGTGCTTGTTTAACTTCGGTACCAGAATCTTTCTTTTGTTCCTTCGTTCTTTTGTTTCATTTGATTTCATGTTATCTTACAAATATTGTTTTTCTTTTTTCGATATTTGAATCTAGGTTGACAATAAAAATGTTGGAAATGGTGCTGCCCCAACAAAAGTTACTCTGAACGAAAATGAATTGCTCCATATTTTGTGTGACGCTGAGTGTGATGAGCTACAAATCACTAGCACAGAAAATATAGCTGTTGTATCTGGCTGGGACAACCAAGGTCACGCTTCAAGAGCGTCTGTAGTAGGAGACTCATCGGCGCAGGTGATATTGCTTTTAATTTTATCACATACCCGTGCCGCTTTTCCGTTAGAATGGTAGTGCGCGGCCGTGCATATATAATTATTTTGTCATTTGCGTTATACAAAGCTATCTTTGAGTGGCGGCCAAGTGGTGAACGCGTCGGACTAGTAATTTTATGATCGCTGGCTGCATGGGTTCAAACCCGTCAGGGGCTAGTCGTTGTTTCCTTGAGCAAGAAAATTTACACTCATTGCTCAGTACTGGTAGGTTCCAGAACGGATTCGAAAGAATGTCTATAAGTTTATAGCTTCCTACACAATCGAATTAAAATATATTCTGTATAAACCAAAGATAGCTTTAAGACGTGCTAAATGTTAGCGTTATAGTATACTACAGGCACGTCAATGAAAAATGGTTCTTTTTCACTTCAAACGGTCTTAATTTTTCTGATATGTGATAAATATGATACTAAATTCGAGAAAGGTTGTCACTGACTTTATTGAACATGGTAAATTAAATAATGTTGTGCTCGCCAGAGGCTTGCATAACATAAATTTATTCAGCTCGTTCAATAAATTTAGTATTAAAATAACATTCACTCAATATCCTCTATGTATGATTTAATAGTGTGAAACAGAAGGTAATAAAGAATCCCGAAATAACGCACAAAACAACAAAATTGAAATTGTTGCAGGCTGATTTTGATTGTGCCTGTTTATGGACGGTAATTGAAAGTGAGAGTTACCGTCCACGCCCTCTAGCACCGGCTTAAGCAGTATTCAACATTTAGCATGAACTGGTATAATTTGGAATTTTATAACATCCATAGCCGAATAGAAACAACTAAAATACCACAAGCACAGCACTAATGTTGTCCTAAACGATCTTTAAGGATCGGAAATAAAACATCCCTGACTGAATGTACAGGGTGACTTTTTACAGCTGCACGGCACAAACACATGTTGATGTGGCGATAAAATATAGAGAAATAAGGAATCCCCAAAGAACGCACAGGACGACAAAATTGAAAATGTTGCAGACTCGAAAACATACATATTATCCACAGTTTATCAGCTACAGTGTGTGGGGTGAAAAAGCTTCGCCGAACTATTTTGGTCACTTTTTATATTCATGATTCCGTCAATGTAGAAAAAGAAATGCTTGCGTTTTCTAAGTAAATAACATATTTCCCGAATCAAATAGCATTTTCCCCTAAAATTGTAAAAAAGATTTTGAATACATATTTGAATTACTTTTGTTTTCATGAGCAGCGTTCGCGTGGCCGTTGAACGTCTGATGTCATCGTTTTATGTGTGTCCTTTCCCCGCGCTTTATTGAAAACAGTCAAAAATTGATGTTACTATTTTTTTTTCGACATAGATATTTTTTGTGAATATGCTTTTAATAATTTAGTCTTGCCCTTGTGAAAATTTCGAAATCATATCGGACTGAGCGGTGTCATTGGCTATCTAACACCGGTTTGGAGTCTTGATACAAAATAATCGACCTCGAAGGCCGTAACTTGCCAAAAGCAGTATTATTATTATAGCAGAAAAAACAAACAAACATACACACACACACACACACACACGCACACGCGCACGCACGCACGCACGCACACACACACTATCGACACATACATGTACTTGCGTTATTGAATCGCGATTATGTCGATGTACAACTCATGTTTTGACTCTAACTATCTTTTACATATTTCAGGTCATTCCAAACAAGTATTATAGTGACGAATATGTTCCATTTGCATTTGGATATATAATCTTGAGTGATGACCCCACTGATCCATCGATCACTTATACCGACCTCACCACAACTACTACAGTAAATCAAGCTACGTTTTATAAAGGTTCTGTTGGTACTGAAATGTCATTCGACAAACCGGTTTCTGTGTACTTGCATGTTCCAGGCAAGTTCTCTTTTAAATTTGCTTTTTCTCCTTCATTTACCCACCGGCTCTTTTGTTAAATGCAGTCTGGTAAATCAATTACACTTAAAACAACAACAACAAAACACCGTATCATGATTTGTGCACTTATGCATAACAAAACAATAGCGGTTGGTTTCTTTCAGGGTTCCCACAAAAAAGAGAAATCAAAATTCCCTGACTTTTCCATGACTTTTCCCTGACCAAGACCATTTTTCCCTGACCAATAACAACGTCAAGTTTTCACAATTTTTAGAGCATTAAACATATTTTTATATGCTGGCACCCTCTGCCTTATATAAGCAAACCTCTTTCCTCCCTTTCTTTAATTTTAAATCATTTCAGATACAGAATACATGTCTATGAATATAAGCAACAATTGTCATTAGATACTTGTGTATTTTACTTTAAATTAGCATGAGTACATTTCTTCAAATGTGAAAAGTATATGATAAAATATGTCATGCTCAAATATATTTCAATTTTGAGCAGTTAAAGCAGTGTAAGATACTAACTACCAAAGCTAGTTTTGTACAATTTCAGCTATATACTAAAATTATTAGCTTTGCCTACATTTTGCTTTTCATGTAGCAACTTTATTACTTGTTATATTGTTTCTTGTTAAAACAAAAGTTTTTAATTGATTTCCAACATTTATTCAAGTAAAATGCATGCCTATTTTAGCCAATCCTCCTTTGATTACACTGCTTTGTATGGGGAGGGGCCAAAATATAAAAAATGCATTTATGAAAAAATGCTATTATCACTGCATTCATACAACAGAAGTAGAGTTTTTGTTCTATACAATTGTACTTTGCCACAATGCAAGTGTGTAAATCTCAGATTTCTCTTGCTTGAGATCATGACTTCTAATCATTTAATAAATATCTCTGAAAAGCAAACACTTCTCATGCCTTTTGTTTTAATTGCATAACTTGTACACATGTTTAAAAAAGACATTCCAATATGAAATGTTTCCTCAAGAGATGGACAGAGATATTTTTTTTTTTTTTTACTATATGTACATATAATGAAAATCAATGACCCCCGGGGGATCCAATTTTGACCCCTGGGCTATAATTTTAACAATCTTGGTATAGGTCTATTGCACAAATTTTTATTCTAGATATCTAACCTATAGCCTTTGTCAATTAAGAGAAGAATTATTTTTAATTTTTACTAAATGTACATATAATGTACATACATATAAGGAAAAGCTATGACCCCTGGGCCCGGCCAATTTTGACACTATGGGCAAAATTTGAGCAACTTTGGTAGAGGACCTATAGATAGTATTATATACCAAATAATCAAAGCTCTAAGCCATGTACCTTCGGACAGTAAGATATTTTAAGTTTTAACTATATGTGCAAAATGAAAATCAATGACCCTTAGAAATTAAGGGCCAATTTTGATCCCAGGGCTTGAACAAACTTGTTAGAGGTCCAATAGACGATGCCTTTTGCAAAATATCTAAGCTCTATCCTTCTTGGTCTTTAGATGATTTTATTTAAACTTTTTTTTCATATAATTTCTTATGGTTGCCATGACGACCAAATTCTTGCTCAAGCAAAATTAATTCTTATAACAAATTTGAAAGCCCTTTACCATTAAGGAACAATCCTGCAAGTTTAGCTAAATTTGGACTAACCATTTTTTTTGAAAAGACTAACCAATTTTTTGAAAAGATTTTTTAACTTCATACTAAAGATAAAGTAACTTTAAATGACAAAAGATTTCGAAAATTTTCAGACATAACATATTTTTTAAAAGATATTTACAAGAATAAAAAAAGATACTTGTAATGATAAATAAATAAATAATATAAGAAATTGCCTTTGCCTTGACTTTTTTGCTTCCTACAGTTTGAACAACATTCTTCTCTTACAAAATTCTCTGACTTTTCCCTGACCTTGAAAAAAAATCATTTTCCCTGACTTTTCCCTGACCGTGGGAACCCTGTCTTTGCGTGTCATTGCCATACTTTATTAATTAGATAAAGGACATAAATAATAAGTTTGTTGTGAGTGATATTTAAGATCCTGTAACATACTTTTATAGTAAAAAATATGATGCTCAAATTAAGATTTATCGATTAATTACGTAAGCAGCCAGGATATGCGTCTCTTGCTCGCCTTCCATAGCAACAAAAAGGTTCAAGGTTGACGATGATGAAGTTACAATTTTATATAACCGGTTCTTCAGCAGTAGCGTGACTAGCGTCATTAGTTCCCTATGATTACATCACGAACGTTCTATTAACATTATATTTTCAAGAATTTCTGTCAAAAGCGAATGTTTTACAAAAGATGAAACAAAACTTCAAGCATATCAAGTAAAAGTTCGGCGAAATAAACGTTTCTTTTTAATCTCTGTGAATAAAATAAATTAATTGTATTGTTTTTGTTTAAACGTTTTGATCACTAAAGTCGTCTAACATATCATGATTTCGCTTACTTGGGACCCTTTAACGTTTCCGTATCAAGCTAGGAAAGTCGGGTTTATTATTAAGCAAGGAAAATCGCGTTTATTATCAAGCACAGAAAGTGGCGTTTATTATCAAGCAATGAAAATATCTCTTATTATCAGGCAATAAAAGTGGCGTTTATAATCAAGCAAAGTCGTGATTGTTATCAAGCAAGCAATTGTCGCATTTTTTATTAAACGTTCATTATCATGCAAGGAAAGTCCCGTTTATTATCATGGAAAGATAATTGAGTTTATTATTAAGCAAGAAAAATCGAGTTTATTTAGCAAGAAAACTCGCGTTTAGTATCAAACAAGAGAAATTTTTAAGAAAGTTGCGTTTATTACCAAGCGAAGAAAGTCGCGTTTTGTATCAATCACTTAGAATATACAATCACTTAGTGACACAAGTACCAACATGTCTCAATTCATATAACTGGAAATAGATACTAAGGACAGATACCATGGAAGTGAATCACAAAATAAAACGAAAATAAGTGTTTGTAAGAAACAATGATACATCGTTTGGGACAAACTTTCGATTAACTGTAAAGAATAGTGTTTCGAACATCGAAAACTTTAAATATATACATTGATAAGTTTCTAATTTCTATTTCATTTTCTGAATTCATCAATGTAACAAATTAAGGTATATTTGGTCTTTTCCAATAGTGTTTTATATATATTTTTTCGTAATTCATTTTAAAGAGAACATTCTAAAATAAAGTGAAATTCATCTTCCAAAATAAAACATTTTTTTTTCATTTCCTATTATCAAATGGTATTGCACTAGGTTTATTCCACCTTTCAGTTTCAATCTCGAGTCTATGTAAAGAAACTCAAAGCAGGGACAGAGCAATTATAAAATTTTCAATATTAATACAGTGTAAATACTTTTGAAATTTAAGATCTGCAAATATTACATATGTACGAGCTCTAGTTGAGTTATTTATTTCTGAAAACCAATTTTGGATAAAAAAACATCATTTACTCGTTGTTTTACTAAACTTATGAATACATCTACGCCTTGAGATAACCATACACCATTTAAAGCAAGTGACTGTAATAAATCTCCAACACTTCTAACCCATGTTTTTTGTTAGATCTTACCTGTAACTCTCTGTACAATAAACCATATATTGTTTTTACATAGTTTATATCTTCAAGTTGTATAATTTAAGTCAGTATTTTATTACACTTACAATTCTTCTTCATTTCAAACTTATTCTTCCTAGTTCTACATAAATAATTTTTTTCTGAGTTTGTACAATGACGCCTAACAGTTTTTTACAAAAACTCAAATGCACTTTTTCTTATTTACAACAATCATATATACCGCTTACATCTGAAGCATAGTTCAAAATTGGTGAGATCTATTTATCAAAAAGTTCTAGTTTATGTTTCACAGTTATACATGAAAATTAAATCAAATCTAGTTGAAATTTATATAATGCCTTAATTCAAAGTTTGACCAGATAGTGTTTCAAAAGAAGTATTAAAAGATTCACCAGTTGAAGACTGCTCCTAAATAAGAACATTTTTTGGCAATTTCTAAATTTTCTCCATTATATACGAATGAAATGTAATGTCTTAGTCTGCCTTTTCTGAAAATAATCATTTTTGTTATTAACAGTTAATCTCCACTTATCACAATAATTCTCCAATAACAATAAACCTTTATGTAAGCCTTCTTCTGTTTCAGATATAATATAACGATATCATCTGCATATAAAAGTAAAAAAAAATAAGAAACCATAATTAATTCCTTCAAATTTATTCATGATAATAAAATATTCTTCTATGTGATTTAGATACATGGCGAACAAAAAAGGTGATAAAGACTCTCCCTGTGGAGCGCCAACACACATGGAAATTCTTCACTCAAAACATTTTGATATTTTATTCGGGACCTTACACTTTCGTACATTGATTTAATGACGTCTAACATTTTACCTCTAACACCATATTTAATTATTTTAAACCATATAATATCTCTAACTAAATAGTCAAAAGCCTTGGTAAATCAACAAACATAGCATAAAGTTTTTTTTATTTTTACTCAACAGATACAAAATAAGGCCATGCAAAACAAAAATGTTTCTATGGTTCCCATTTGTTGTCTTAAACCTGACTGAGCTTAAATACAGTCTTTTTAAACAAAGGGAGCAAATATCGTCTATAACATTACAAAGTTTTTTTCAAACTTTCATTTCTATCCGAACTGTTTTCTGCAATAATAATGTCTTGGGAAATAGTTTTAAGATTTTCTTCAACATTACGACTTGACGTAATATTAATATATTCTTCTTTCTTATTGTTTTCCCATTTATACATGAAAGGATGGATGAAGTTGTTGTTGTTGTTGCAGTGGTAGTATTTGAAAGTGAGTAGTAGAAGTAGAAAAAAGGTAGTTGTAGAAGTAGGGAGTGGGTAGTAGTATTAGTAGGAAGTTGGTAGCAATCATTGTAGATGAAAGAAGCAAGTACTAGATGTAAAAAGTGGATAGAAGTAGTACTAGATAGTAGAAAATGAGAAATAGTTTTAGAAAGTGGGTAGTAGTAGTAGTAGTGATGGTAGTAGTAGTGGTAGTGGTAGTAGAAGTAATAAGTGGTGGTAGTGGTGGCAGTAGTAGTTTGTAGTAGAAGTATTAGTAGCAGTAGCAGCAGCAGCAGCAGCAGCAGCAGAGTGTAGGTAGTAGTGATAGTAGTAGAAAAGGAGTAGTGATGGTGGTGGTGGTGGGCAGTAAAAGAAGAAAGTGGATGGCAGTAGTAGCAGCAGTACAGTTTTATAGCAATTCTTAGCCCGATGTAAATAACAAGCGTTGCAATGTGCTTCACTTTTGGGTCATTTTTCCACAGTAAAAATGATAATATTCTGGAAAACGGGATGATGGATTACTTGAAAGTTTGCACACAAGTTATTAGTTAAGACCTTCATCAAATGGTACACTAACCTGGAAGAAATATTCTAGTCCCGACATGTCAAAAACATTATGTGAAGTCCCTATAATGACTTTTATTAATAGTAAGATTATTTTGTTATTTTCATGACAGCCGCTACACCAGCACTTCTACAATATCCATCTGTTGAACAATGGGCAACATCGTATTTTTTACCATTAGAAGATGACGTATCATATTTGGCTTACATAGGTAAATATTAATCTATTTAGGCATTAGTATGGTCTCCACACACCACAACAAAAATAAATAAAATCGAAAAAAGTCCCAAGATCAAGCAAGATTATGGTCAGAACTATATAGTCACGTACAAGCTTCACTCTCAATCTTCGCAGAGTAGATATGCTATAACGTCGACTTAGTGCAATAACGGAATAATTTCTTCTAAATTTGATAGCAGTTAATCAGTTATTGCACTTAGGTGGCGATATAATAACTTGCTTCTACAAGAGTTACCGTGATGTGTTTTCTATCCCTATCAGAAAAAGAAGAGATACTCCCCTTTTTCGAACATCACAACATGACTATTTCCTGGCCCATTATTCATCGTGAAGAAAATCCGGATCATGATAAAAATTTCATTTTCGTTGCTCTTTGAAACTGAAATTGATCATATTTCACGGATATATCCACATCGGTTCCCTCTTTGCGAAATCTACTGAAACCGTACCCTTTTTGCCAATGCACAGGCCACTCTCTGCTGAAAACAACTCGGTGACATACACCAATGCATTGATTGTTCATTCGATTGTTAAAAGTAGGTAAATGGTGTGAATAGCAAGTATACACGGAACAATAGTCTGTTTTAAATTTGTCTATATCATTTACAAATGTTTGTACATTGTATAGTTTAACATGTTTTGCCAACTTTGTATATAAATCGTTTGTTTGATATGATTAATATTCTTTTATACGATCTAAGTAAACTTAGGTGATGATGGTGTTATTGGTTACATACTTGTACATAGTGTTCGTTATTTATAAGAAAACAAGATAATAACATAATCATGCTTTTCTCATTGTAATAAAATTCTTTGTTTCAGTTGCTCGCAAGGATGAATCTGATAGTATAACCATGAATGGTCAGCCATGGCAGTCATATGGCATAAATAGTCCTGCAGCTGATATTGCAAAGCTTTCAAGTAAGCATTTTGTTGTTTTGTCCCCCACTTTAGGGGGGGGGGCATTTAGAGTTACCCTTATCCATCCGCCCGTCCCTCCGTACACATTTTGTGTCGCACGTAGCTCAAGTGTTTGTATTAGTATTTGTAGAGCTATTGTCCTTGACTTAGTAAAAATTTGCAAATTTTCAACTTGTGTCGCACGTAGCTCAAACATTATTTGATCTAGAGTCATGAAACTTTACAGGAATATCGACCAGCATGTGTAGTTGTGCCCCTGGGTATTTCATGTGGATATATATTTAGTATTTTTAGAGTTATTGCCATGAATTAGTAAAAATTTGCAATGTTCAGCTTGTGTCGCACGTAACTCAAAGACAATCTGACATAGCGTCATGAAACCTTACAGGAATGTTGCTCAGCATGTGAAGTTGTGCACCTGGGTATTTTCGTTCGGATATATTTAGTATTTCTAGAGTTATTGCCCTTGACATAGTAAATAATACAATTTTCAACTTGTGTTTCACACAACTCAAAAAGTATTTGACCTAAAGTCATGAAACTTACAGAAATGTTGATCTGCATGATAAGTTGGGGTTTTGCTTGTGGATTTATTTTGTTTTGTCAGAGTTATTGCCCTTAACTGAATAAAAATTTGCAATTTTCAACTTGTATCGCACATAGCTCAAAAAGTATTTGACGTAGAGTCATGACACTTTACAGGTATATTGATCAACATGTGTAGTTGTGCACCAGGGTATTTTCGTTTAGATTTATACAGTATTTGTAGAGCTGCAACGCATTGTCCTTGACTTAGTAAAAAATTTGTAATTTTCAACTTGTGTCACATGTAGCTCAAAAAGTATTTGACATAGGGTCATGAAACTTTACAGGATTGTTGATCAGCGTGCAAAGTTTTGCACTAGGGGTATCGCTTGTGAATTGATATGTTTTGTCATTGCCATTGACTAAGTGAAAATTTGCAATTTTCAATTTGTGTCGTGGGTACATCAAAATGTTTTTAATCTAGAGTCATGAAACTTAACAGGAATGTTGATCATAGATGCATAGTTTCAAGTCTATTGTATCGCTTCCTTAAGCCTCTGTCACATCAGCCTTACGGCAGCCGTACGTACACATTTTGACAAAAATCGCTGTATTTCGTGCGTCAGGCGCAAGACGGTCGTACGAATTCTTAAGGTCGCAAGGTTGCCGCAACGTCGCAGACTGATTTCTCAACATGCACATTATTTCTGCGATTTTTTGACATATTTTGACGTCTCAAGACAGTCTTGACAGTACGACAGACTCACGATTTCAAGAAGTTCTCAAGTCATAATGTTTTGCATTTGTCTTGCGGAGACCGCGGAGTTGCCTAACAAACATCGTGCGGCACCGCAGGCCGGAATCGAATGCCGTCACATGACAGTTAACAATCTTAAGACAGTCGTACAACTGGTATGACAGCCGTCCAACAGTCCTACGACCGTTGCGCGTCTTCTTAAAATTACATCCTTTCAAAATCCGAAAAAGGTTGCGGCTCACCCTTACATGCCCGGTGTATTCACCCTCTGACACTCTATCAAGCTCCTGGAAGAGGGTGTGACATTGGCCAAACAACCGACTTCGCGCAATCCATGCCCCGTGTTCACAAAGATTTGAGATACAACATCAAATTTAAAAACTCAAATATTCTCCATTGTTTATACTCATAGATTAAATATCTTATAATAAATTGATAAAATTTGACTTGAAACGGCATAATATTATGGAATGAATTTTAAAATAAATTTATTATTTTTGCAAGATATGGTCATTTTACAGTTGATCCGAAGATTGATCTTGATCCTAAAACTGATCCTAATTTTGATCTGATGATTAATAACTTTGTTTTGTTATTTGTCGATTTTATCAAAAAATACATGTAGGTTTGTTTCTTTGCCATTGTTTACATTTTGTATATAAACAATTTAATTCTATCAAAATATGATCAGTTTTAGTTTCATAAAACAATGGAAATAAAATCGTGATCATTTAACCCTGATCCTGATCTTTTCTTAGTGAACACAGGGCCAGGGTTTTGCCCACCAGCGCATTGCCTGTCTTCTCCAACCTTATTGTGCCCTGATAAGCAACGCCAGAACTATTGCGTGGCGCACTTCTTCACGTAGTCTCCGTCTAAGAATACTCAAATGCAACCTTTGTGATTGAATTGCCGTCCCGATTTGATTGAAACAATACGGGGCACTCTGATGATGGTGGTGCATTCTATCCTTACTTTCGAATTCGTACGATTAACGTACATACAACGTACGACAACCGTGTGGCAACCTTGCGAATTATTGGTGGGCGTGCGGTTTACATGCAATTTTTAAAAAAAATTTGTACGATTGCCATACAACTGTCATAACAATCGCACGTCTGTTGCACTGTCGGTTTGCGACGACCATACGAAATACTGTTGGTTTTTGTCCTACTTTCAATATAAATATCGTGCTAGCCATGCGGCCGCTGTACAAACAGCGAACGTCTGTCTTACGATCTAAATATCTGTCTGCGAAATTGCCTGCGACGTTTCTACGGCACAGATTTCTCCTCAAATCGTTCGAACCAAATTTCGTGCGGCTGATGTGATAGAGGTTTTACCATTCGTTTCTTTATTGGAAATATTGTCGGCTTCGAGAACTTGATGGAAGGCGGTAATATGTTCAATTATAATATGTATTCTTCAAATACATGTATTAAATGTTTTGATGTTTTTATTGCCTCAGGGTGATCTCCCCCTTGTCAGATTTTTTTCTTTACAACAGCAGGTGTCACAGCTGTATGAAGTTACAACATACTTCACTTAACTGTGCTGTATTCTTCTGCTCCTTCTTGACCATTATTTCCATCACATTTTGTGTTGGAATTTGAATGCCGCTTAAGATGGTGCCAAGGGGCGTTAACAACTATTACGTTGCACATTTACATTATCTTTCATTTAAAGATTAAGTCAACAAGTTTATCATTTTTGTGGTTTTCAAATTTTCTGCGTTAACTCCCCTTTGTTCAGTTTTTTGATGGCTGTCCCGTCGTTTGTCGACCCCCTTTTTATCCAAACATAATTTAATCTGAGATAAGATCAACAAGTAAATGCGGCATTCAAAGAAGGACGACAAAACAAAATCTAATACAACAGGACAATATAAAAACATTGCAGGTCACGGGATAAATAGAGAAGATGGCAAAAGATGAGGCATGAACAGGATACCCATGCTAAAAAGTAATTATCAAATTAAAGCATTGCAAGTAATACTAAAGTCTCCTACCGGTAAGAAACCAATAAGAAGTATTCAACATCATTCAGAAGGGTCATGTCCATTCAATTATGCCATTGTGAAAGACATGAATGAACCTTTGAGTACTTAGTTTGTCTGTATAACCTTAATGTGTTAAATATCCTTGCCAATAAACGACATTGCCTGCAATCACTTTTAAATAATTTGAAACTGACAAACAGAGTGCGAATCTTTAAACCGTAAAAATAAAAAAGGTTCCAAAATCTCAAGATCAATGAAAATATGAACTATAACAACAGGAATGGAATAAAATTGATTCTATTGTTTCAACTTAGATTAGAAAAAAACATGATAATATGTACACTTTTTTGTACAGAAAATAACCAAATACTTTTACATCTGTTCCATGAATACAAGTATGCGAGTTACTTTTAGCAGATTTCAAAAACTTTCAATAAAAGCTAAATGTTCGGATATGGCAGATAATGAACTCTCAAAAGAAGTTATTTTTGGGTTAACTGACACAAAGAAAAAGGATAATACTTCAACTTTCTTTTTTCTGTTGAAAAAAAGGATATATCTTCAATTGCAGGCACAAGAACCAAAGTTTCAATCTTAAAACTTTTCATGATACGTTAGGTTTTTATCATAACGTGGAAAAGAATATCGAAAACTCTTCCTGTAAAAAGGATAAAGTATATACAAATAGGGCCTACATAACTCTTGTAAATAATACAGTTTCTAATGATGATAAACTGAATATAAAATTTTCTTACAATGAATACATAATAAAATAAATAAATAAATAAATAAATTAATGAAATTTATAATCATCTAAATTAGGAGAGTTATCATATAGAATGTCTTCTTATGGTCTTCTTTCAAATATAAAGTAGTAAATATATTGTTGTCGACACATCATCCAGGAAAGCTAGGGGTCACCTGTTTATATAAAACATACATATATTTCACACTTCAATGCTGATATCATATTTATAATTTGTATTTACTTTGTAGAACTGAGAAATAGTCTAAATCAACAAGTTTATGTTAACATATATATCATGTTAACCCTTTACCGCATGAGCATATTGTGAAAAATGACCGTTTTCATTAAAAGGCCTCCTGCCACAAGTTCAAACTGCTATAAAACTATGAAAAATGATTCAGTACTGATGAAACTTGGCCGCCCTTCTTCAAACCCTCGAAACACAAAGGGGCACATCCCCCTTCTGGCAACCCCCTGATGTACCTTTTTTGATGTGTTTGGGGCCAAACAGGACATTTTTGCACTATTTGAGGCTTAAAAAAAGGGGGGGGGGGGAGTCGAAAGTGCGTTGTTACGCGTATATATGGCGTAAAGGGTTAACAAAAAATGATGAAAAACCTTAAAAATACTCAAAATCTAGTTCTTCCATGTTAACACGTGGTCTTTTTCAAATTTGGTAAAATTTTTTGTTTTGTTGCATTTTTTAGTTAACCCGTTACCGCATGAGCATATTGTGAAAAATGACCGTTTTCATTAAAAGGCCTCCTGTAACAAGTTCAAACTGCTATGAAACTATGAAAAATGATTCAGTACTGATGAAACTTGGCACAAATCTTGACTAGACAATAGTCCCTGTAACAGCATGCTCATTCTTTAATTTCCTGTTACCATTGCAACGGGGGATGTCTCAAAATTGCCAAAAGTCACTATTTTGCATTTTTTGCCCTTAAAACTGTTATATCTTGTATGATCATTTTAAAATTGTCTTTTCCGTTACTACGGTAGTTCTTTCTGTTGTTTTTTTTTAAATATTTTTACGGCCCTGTTTGCAATTATGACATTTTTTACCGTGAATGTTTAAATAGACCTAGTTCTGACTTCCATAACTTTGTATGTTGCTTTTATTTTGACGTTGTGCGACAGTACTGAGTAAACAGGTCTAGGAGTAGTATACTATTAAACATATTCGTCCGCCTTCGAATCGGCAGGTCGAAGGTTCGAGCCCCACGGGGAGCGTTTATTGAAGGATGAATGTTTCTCATGGGACTCGTTCCGAAATGGCCGCTTCGTGAGCCGCGAGGTAGTTAAAATGAATGGTTACCGATTTCCATCCGCCTGGCGCCTGGCATAGTGGTAGGAATTGCGAGGCACATGGTATGCAAACAAAAGGTGTCACATCAGTCAAAAAGGCTGGCCCTTTCAGTAGGGGTGACACTATAATAAAAAACAAGACCTTTACCTTTTATTAGCTGTTCAAGTCTCTTAGCTAAAAACGACCCAGAAGGACATCGGTTTTATGGTAGTTTTAATGCAATGTTGATATGCCGAATATTACATTTTAACAACAGAAACTTTCGTCTGCAGTTTGAACATGAGTTATATGGTTTTATTCATAGGAAGGTAAACACATGGTGGTTCATACGAGGTTTTTGAAGCAATTCAACAAAATAGTAGATTGACCTCCCCATAAATCAATTAACATACTTTGTTCATTTTACTTTTACTGTTTTGTTTGCTTAAAAAAAATATCACAGGAACTTGAAATTCTATCAAATAACCAATATTAATGATAATATCAAAAAATACCCCCAAAAGCCCAACAAGACAATATTGAAAAATTTGCAGGCTCAGTTTGAATGAGTCAGATTCATGGACGGTAATGGAAAGTGCAAGTTACCGTTCATGCCCCCTAGCACCGGCTTAAGCAGAATCCAACATTAATATATGGTAATGATGAAATTTTGAAATTAGAAACAACCGCAATGTGTTCATATGGCGGTTAACGTGGAAACTTCAATGTGACATTTTCGTGCCATTCCATGAAAAGCGGCGTATTGTCCCCTAGTAAAATAATGCGTATGCCCTAAACGACAAAACAAGTGGCGGAACTTAATAAAATGGAATTTCAAAAGGGGATCAGATGTTATGAAGCCCTGTTAAGACATTTCCAAGAAAATAACAGGATTTCAATTACTTTCTGTGATTAAAATATTTAACTCAAGTATGAGCAAAGTTTATCTTTATATCAATGTCAAATATAACTTTATTTACAAAATCTGGCTGATTAATCTTAGTTGTTACGCTGACGACTATTATATGTTTCATATTTTTTAATTTTCTTTGATTGTAAATACATGAACATACAAAAATCATATTTCTTTATTTTTGTTCTGTCTTTACTATGATCACGGGATATATTTTGTTCTCTATAAATCATATAATCTTCATTCTTAACTGGAGAGGAAAGTTATATATGATGTGAACTACTGTTTGTTTGTTTTGGTGTTTTACATCATGTATTATAACTAGACTAACTTAAAGAAGTAACGCAACAGTTTTAATGATAACCTTGAATAGAGCATTTCGATTTTCATTTCTTTTGGAAAACACATTGCCTATATAGGTAAAGTCATCAAATATGACTACCATTTGTCCATCTGGCTCAAGATCATATACATCGATAATATCTGAATTTGTATATGATATTATATTATCTGGTTCCATTCTAATTTGTGTTGCGATTGTGTTTGCAACATCAATGAAATTTTGATATTTTTATTTTAATTTTTTTTAGCACAAAAATATAACAAGCTTTCTTGTTTTACCTGGTCCGAAGCAACCAATGAAAAATGAGTCTGCCATACATGTAATAGGATATATTTGCTAAAGATTTAATTTTTTTTGTCCGATTTATTGTTAAGGCCAGTTTGCACAATTAAATTGTAGATTAAGTAAAACGGAGAGATCGAATGACCACAAGGTATTGCCCATGGCTTCCGCACCTGGTATAAAAATAAGAATATCTTAAAAAAATACAGTAGAATAATTACTTTGTTTAATACTGGATTATGGAACGTTTTTTATGCCAGACCGTGCTGATATTATTTTTTCTTTGAATGACATTTCATTCAGTAGTTCAGATTTTTTTTTCTGACAGCTGCAGGACCTGGGCCGGTGAATTACGAAGTAAAAGGGTTTGCTATTGACAAAAATGCGTTAGGCGGCAAGTTACACGTCCACTTTGAATCTGGAGACGGGTCAAAACCTTTCATGTTAGTCATAGTAAATGTAGGCACTGGCAGTGCTTTTTTACCTTTCGGAGTCCGGTATCCGACCACTAATCGGGTAAGTAGTTTAAAGTTCATAAAGTCTTTGACCTACCGTTTTTTAAAAGGATTTATCTTACTATAGTTTAGGAGAAATACCACTGAACATTTGCTAGAATTATTATCACAAAGTAGAAAAAAATCGCTTTTTCCGCCGATTCTTACAACTTCTATTCATTTTCGAAAAAAATGGCTAAAAGAGATGAATCTGATGCCCTTAATAAAGTGCATTTTGGCGTCTGAAACGTCGAAAATTTAAAATTTAATCATTTAAGCGCCTTTCCGGTATATCCCGGAATGCAGTATTCACTGTGGTGCTCCAACACGTTTTTTAGTCTCACTCTGTTTCACACGCGAAGTCTAAGTACTGTCTACCGATAATTTCCATAACTGTATTCAACAACGTTTACATAAACTAACACCTTCTAAAACAATTTAATTATATTTAATTTGATCAAATATTTTCATTTTTGTTTGTTCTCCATTTAAATTCTTCAATGTTTATCTAATTATGTAACTCAACAAATCATATAAATGTAAGTCAGTAGTGAAAAGAACATTGATGTTTATAAAGAAACTCTCTACTACCTCTTATGTACCAACTTAGGTCAACCGAGAACATCAGTTTTGCAATACATAGGTTTCTCGCTCGATCTTCGGACGAAGCGAAATTTCCCAATGATTATTCCCCTCATCGCTGGTTTGGAAATCAAGTGGTATTAGCATTCGACCACTTGCGGAGAAATTGACAATTAACTAATGGTTATTTATCCAGGAAAGCCTGTAGGGTTGCTAAACCTCTGAGGCGAGACCAATGATGTGTTAAAAAAAGTAAAAAAAAAACAACAAAAAACACAACAACAAACGAAAACAAAAAGCTGAACAAAACAAACAAAAAACATCATTTCATTTTGGTCAGTTACAGAATTATACCTCTATTCGTAAGACAAAAAAATTTGGTATACTTGAAGACCTCAAATACTTGAATATAACTATAGATGTGTACAGTTTACACCATGAAAGTATTAGTTGTATTTTGATACTTTGTCTGACAATGTAGGTTTTACACCATGTAAGTAGTGGTCATATTTTGATACCTTGACTGACAATGTAGGTTTTACACCATGTAAGTAGTAGTTATATTATGATACCTTGACTGACAATGTAGGTTTTACACCATGTAAGTAGTGGTCATATTATGATACCTTGACTGACAATGTAGTTTTACACCATGTAAGTAGTAGTAAAATTATGATACCTTGACTGACAATGTAGTTTTACACCGTGTAAGTAGTGGTCATATTTTAATACCTTGACTGACAATGTAGTTTTACACCATGTAAGTAGTTGTCATATTATGATACCTTGACTGACAATGTAGGTTTTACACCATGTAAGTAGTGGTCATATTATGATACCTTGACTGACAATGTAGTTTTACACCATGTAAGTAGTAGTAAAATTATGATACCTTGACTGACAATGTAGTTTTACACCATGTAAGTAGTAGTAAAATTATGATACCTTGACTGACAATGTAGTTTTACACCATGTAAGTAGTAGTAAAATTATGATACCTTGACTGACAATGTAGTTTTACACCATGTAAGTAGTAGTAAAATTATGATACCTTGACTGACAATGTAGGATTTACACCATGTAAGTAGTGGTCATATTATGATACATTGACTGACAATGTAGTTTTACACCATGTAAGTAGTAGTTATATTATGATACCTTGACTGACAATGTAGTTTTACACCATGTAAGTAGTGGTCATATTATGATACATTGACTGACAATGTAGTTTTACACCATGTAAGTAGTAGTCATATTATGATACCTTGACTGACAATGTAGTTTTACACCATGTAAGTAGTGGTCATATTATGATACATTGACTGACAATGTAGTTTTTACACCATGTAAGTAGTGGTCATATTATGATACATTGACTGACAATGTAGGTTTTACACCATGTAAGTAGTGGTCATATTATGATACATTGACTGACAATGTAGTTTTACACCATGTAAGTAGTAGTTATATTATGATACCTTGACTGACAATGTAGTTTTACACCATGTAAGTAGTAGTTATATTATGATACCTTGACTGACAAAGTAGGTTTTACACCATGTAAGTAGTAGTTATATTATGATACCTTGACTGACAATGTAGGTTTTACACCATGTAAGTAGTAGTTATATTATGATACCTTGACTGACAATGTAGGTTTTACACCATGTAAGTAGTGGTCATATTTTAACACCTTGACTGACAATGTAGGTTTTACACCATGTAAGTAGTGGTCATATTATGATACCTTGACTGACAATGTAGTTTTACACCATGTAAGTAGTAGTCATATTATGATACCTTGACTGACAATATAGTTTTACACCATGTAAGTAGTGGTCATATTATGATACCTTGACTGACAATGTAGGTTTTACACCATGTAAGTAGTGGTCATATTATGATACCTTGACTGACAATATAGTTTTACACCATGTAAGTAGTGGTCATATTATGATACCTTGACTGACAATATAGTTTTACACCATGTAAGTAGTGGTCATATTATGATACTTTGTCTGACAATGTAGGTTTTACACCATGTAAGTAGTAGTTATATTATGATACCTTGACTGACAATGTAGGTTTTACACCATGTAAGTAGTAGTTATATTATGATACCTTGACTGACAATGTAGGTTTTACACCATGTAAGTAGTGGTCACATAATGATACCTTGACTGTCTATGGAACCTTTAAATATAACAGTGTATATGATTTTCGAATTTTTAAATATTACAGTGTGTAGCATCAACTTCGGTTCCTGGAGATAACCTAGATAACGACTGTGACGGTAAAGTCGACGAAGAGATGCTGAATAATGTCGGTAATTATATGACAATTATTTCTCAGTTGAATGCTGAGAAAATAGGTCAACTCTGGAATATATTGTATCCGTTACTCGGCCAACGTGGGGGTTTTCCATGCTAATTCCTCCGGTGCAAACAAACTGTTAAAGCTTCCTGGCACACCACACTACCTGTCACAATAGATTTGTCAACCTGTGGCGCTTATTTTTTTCAGAGCTGTCACTGTAAAAAAGTTTTGTTTTTTTTAATATAAGAGCAGCTGAGGTAAACCCAAAGTATTCTTCAATCCGGACAAAGTCTATTGAAAATTGGGTTTTTCTAATCTGTAGGTAAAAACACACTCTTACAGTTACAGCTTCGAACATTGACTAATGTGCGCTATAAAGCCATAACGGCAAATGTTTGTTTGTACCTATAAATTAGCTCGGAAAACACCCAAATTTGCCGAGTTCCGGATAAAATCTATTGCCGGGTGCTAAAATTTTGTATATGAATTTTGTTTAATTTTATTTCATTTTTCTCAAATAAAACAAGCTTTTGTTATCTGAGAAGAAGCTCAGCTTGGCTCATTTCCGAGTTTTATTTGAAATTGATTTGCTTGCAGATGATGATAACGATGGCGATACTGATGAAGATGTGGCTTTAAATCCTATCACAGGTAAAATATTAATTTATTCCTATGAAATATGTAACTAGTAGTGTAGTTATGGCATTTACTGATTTCCTATGCATTAGTCATTATTTGTTTGTTTGTATGTATGTGTGTGTGCTTTTGTTGTCTGATTTCAACACATTTTGGGTCATATGTTGACGATCGGCCATTCTTTAATTTTTACATAATGTCGAAATGATATCAGATTCTAGTAATTATAATAACTTAACGTTATTTAACCAAATTTACATGAAATGCTACCAGTTACACTAGAAACCAAATCTACATGAAATGCTACTATTATTTTGCAACAAGAATTTGCCAGAACAGTATATCATTTTTCTTAAGAAATTACTGTTGGTAAATGGAATATCATAAGTTTTCCGTTTATTAAAGGCTCGTTATACTTCAGAAATGCTTTTATTTTTACTTCTCAAAGTCCTTTTATTTTTGGTGTTGTTTAATAGTTCTATAAAAGATTCTCATTGGCCAATTACCTAAACAAACTATTCCTTCTGTTGCTTTTTGGCAATTAGTACAGTAATTGTTATAGTGATCGAGTATTTTGTATGGCAGTCAAAATACTACTGTGTTTACATTTTGCTACTTTAATGATAAGTAATTTCAAAGAGCCTATTTCCTTAGGTAACAAGCATCTAAAATACTCCTTATACATAATATAAATGGTATAAAACTCATCGTTTCCCTTTCTAAAGAAGTAAATTATTTAACTGTTTCTGAGGCATAATGTGCCTTTAAATGAGACGATATAAGTTGTCCGTTTGATAAATGATATAACACACGTTTTCCGTTGCTTGATTGTTGATTTGAACTACATTAGCTTTCCGTTTGTTTAATGGAACAACATAAGTTTGTCTGTTTGCTTAATGGAACAATATAAGTTTGTGTATTTGTTTAATGGAACATCATTTTGTCCGTTTGTTTAATGGAACAACATAAATTTGTTCGTTTGTTTAATGGAACAACATTCATTTTTCGCTTGTTTAATGGAAAAACATAAATTTTCCGTTTGTTTAATGGAACAACTTAAGTTTTCCGTTTGTTTAATGGAACAACATAAATTGTTGCTTTGTTGAACGGAACAACATAAGTTTCTAGTTTGTCAATTGGTAAAAGTGTCTTCGTTTGGGTATTAGAAAAAATGAAATAACTTTTCGTTTGTTAAATGGAATTACATTTTGTTTACTTTTAATTAATGTCAATAACAAACCACCTTTGTATGGAATCGTTTTGTTGCAGGTTCACTTAGATTCATGTTTAATTATGCCTCAGAGGAAAATATTATTTTACTGCTTTGAAAATGGCAAACATGAATATTATAATGTTTACATACCGGTTTTAGAGAATATTAAATGCATTTTTATTTGAAGTAAGTAGCAATAAATGTGAAACATTTTGTCATAAAAGTAACAAAATGTAAACAAAATATTTTGGCTTACAAAATACTGCATTCATTATGAAATATTTTACTTTTTGCCAAACAGCAACATTGAAAATATCGTACAGGTAGATCAATGAGTAACTTTTTGAATTCTATAAAAAAACACATAAATGAAAAATAAACAAAAACTTATAGAAATACAGTTAAAAGTATTCCTAAGGCATGATGGGCCTTTAATTTGAACATTACACACACAGAGCAGTTATAGATATAACGAAGATTGCGTTAATGTAAATTTCAGCTGGATCCCAAGGTATCTATGTGAAAACTCTTTTAATAGCCGACAATGCTGCTTTCACTGGCTCCACTACAGTTCATTCTTCTGGGTAAGAGACTTGAAAATATTTATGAATGGTAATACCAAATTACAAAATGGTACCTAACCTTTGAATACTCTGAATGAGAGAGTCAAATATGTCTTTCGTTGCCTCAGTTTTTAGCTAAAATATAGATCTGCTAATACCATAATAAACATTTTGTAGAATTTTATGTTTGAACTTATTTTATTACAATTCCATATAACCTAGCGATATTTGCAATGCCATTTTAAGAAAAAGTCCATATTTTTGTTTGTTTTTTTCTTCGAAATGTTATCATTTTCACTACTTACAACATTTCTTAAAATATTTTGTTATGTTTTAAATATTGCACGTTTGTAACGTCTGTTTTAATTGAACAATTGTGTCGTTTATATTACTGCAGAATCGGCACGTTTTATAAAATGTATATATACGGTTATTATACAAAATAAAAGAAAATAATAGAATTAAATATTTAGCGGAAAAAAGGGGATTTTTTGTTGTATAAATTCGTTTTTAAGCCATTAATTTAAATACGTATTATAATAATTATATAATTGAAATTAAACTCTTTTTTCTACTAAAAAGGACCTGAGAAAAAAATCATGAATTAAACGTTTAAAAGGAAAGGTAGAGAGTGTAGAACCTTTCAAGATAAAGTGAAGGAGTTACCTATCTAAATGTCTGTATATTGGATCCGGATGCACTAACATGCCTTGCTAATGAACGGGTTAGTTGCACCTATTCAAAGTTGCACACAGCACCAATGACTGCTTCTAGAACAATCACCGGCCCTTGGCCGTCAGGGGTTACATCCAATCAAAGGTTATGAAACATAAACACACGTACGCAACCTAAATCTCGTACCAAGGTCCGTGAATATTACAAAGAAGGAATATCAATAAAGTAACTATTTAGAAAAATGCTGACACTTAATTAATTTAAAAATATACTTGTCCGTTGATATCACACTCGAAATGCTAAATATTTAAAAGTCATCCTTATATGCTAGTTTTTATCATCTTAATAAATCGAAAATGATCTCATTAATGTTTTCCAGACCTTTCTCTTTAACGATTGAAAATGGCGTATACAACCAATGGGAGAAAACTCTCCTGAAACATAACTGAATTCGACCGAGAATATTTTCCTCTGACGCTAGCAACAGTCGGATATTTTCGTTGATATTCGAGTCTAAAGTTAAAGATTATTGCAATTTGACATATTGATATATTGATGTATCCTGTCTTAAATTGTTAAATCATCAACTTTCTATTAATTAAAGAAAATAGGCGAAATAATCACTTTCCGTAAATTAATTATTTTTAATTGTTTCTTTTTTCCAGTTGTAACATTATCACTCCAGACACAAAACTTATGGGTGCGATTTCGCCGTTTAAAAGAAACACTAATCTTGCGGCAGAGTTCAGTGACTACTGGGTCATC